ATGTAAATGCAGGCCAGACGTGAGAATTCTCCAATGGCGGAGGTTCAAGTGGGGTTGTTTTTATTTCTTTAATGAAAGCAGTTAAGTGTACTCTTGCCATCTATCTCTCTGATACACGCATACCTTTACTGTTCAACAAAACTCTAGCATTTTGTATACCACTGCTATATATATGGGCTTACCGTACTGAGCTCTGCTGAAATATCCCCTTACCATGTTACAGTTCTTTGCATATGTACACAGGTGATGCTGGTACTCTTTATTGCCTAAATTGGCTTCGTTGCTGATGACTGAGTTCTGAGACGACTGCTCCGAAATCTGCCAGGGCCTTCTGGATGATTTGTGTTAAGTATTTGAGGCAAACAGCACCAGCCTAGTCTTTACTTCTCTGTAAAACTTTGGCTCTTCAGAGGACGTGGAGCTGGTTTGATCCATCTCCATTAACTATGCTACTAGTGTCGCTTTAGATTTGCTGCTCATGATCCTTCCCCTCACCTCCAGCAAGTCTATCAGAGAAGTGTTCTTCAACCGCTCATAGGACTTCTCCATCCACCTATTCATTCCACTCCTTTTGGGTGGTCGCTTCCTACACTCTGGGGAAAGGGTCCCTCCCACTTCTGCCACCAGATGTGGCGGACCTCTCCTAGGTGACCGGAGTATCGCAGGGATTTCATTTATCCTTTAGTAAAAGCCACCAGAAGGATTATAGCTCCCCACTAGTCATCAGAGACTTGATGTAAGGGTACAACACTTTATTGAGTGACTGACATTTCACATTCCTGGCACACGTGCATCTGGACATTACTGGATAACTTTATTAATGGTCAGACAACTTGGTGCCTAAAAATAGTGTTCCCTAAAACAAGGTGTTCCCCCTGCCTGTGTTCCCAAACTGGTGTGGCTCCCAGAATGCCCTCCGCTTGAAGGATACTCAGTGCAGAAATAGCTCGCATCGGAGGTGCCTAGCCCAAATAGTCCGGAGCTTGGTTGGGGTCTTGCCATCTCCTACCCACCCTGTACCTACAACAAGGCTCCAGGCTCCAGTGGGTGAACCTCTCTTTCTTCAGAGAGCAAAGCAGGAACAGGAACAAGCTCTTACAAGAGCTTAGTGAAGCTAAGGGAGTATGAAGAGCATAGCAATCCCTGTAGTGATTATAGCTGTCCCCCCCAAACACTTGAGGTTGCGAGTTGAGGGTCAAGTAGAACTGTAGGTTTAATGGTACAGCTGCTTCTTATATACTTATATTTGGGCACAGGACATGACATGCACAATCCAATAAAAACAGAGTTTTACACTTGAACACTCCCAGTTACTGTACACAAACCCTCCCCTCTACCTGTGATACAATGGACTAACTCAATTAACTTTAGCAGAAAAAAGAACACATTTTTACAAACCCTAAAAAGTACCCCAAAATACAACAAATCCCTAAAAGCCCCGATCTGTGTGAACAAAATATCCAAAAATCACTCAGATCGGTTCAGGGGTTCAGGAATTTCCTGGAAGTCTTTTTTTCTGCCCCACCGTGCGCATGGTCCCATGCCCAAAAAAGTTCCATACACTCGACGGCAAAACACTGCTGGATAATTTAAGATGGCCTCTGCCACATGTTGGAATCTGTCCAAGAGGCAGAAACACAGGACCCACAGTCCCAGGGTATGAGGCTGGCAAGCAGGCCCCTCCAAAAACTCATGGCAAACTGCCTTAAAAAGGGGAGTTTGTCACAAGTGGCAACCCTGCAATCTGATCTACAGTTCCAGGAGGTTCTTAGGTAGCTCCCGATCAGGTGTGCATTGCCTGTGCTGATTGATGTTGGAACTTCATTCATATTGAATATATATATTATATTTACAAATATATCTTGTTCTATGTGTACATATAGTAGATTTCTGCTTTACAAAAAAAAAAAAAAACACAATGCCCTGTGTGAGGATCGAACTCACGACCTTCAGATTATGAGACTGACGCGCTACCTACTGCGCTAACAAGGCAGATGAAAATTTAGACTTTGTCAAAAATATAGGTTCTGTTAGAATAGGATAACCATTTGTTGTTCATTGTATTAATGATTGGTTGTATTCATATGAAAATAACTGCATACAAAAGAAATACAATGCAAATAAGAAAAGCAATACTGTTAAATACTGTTGTTATTATAAGGGGCCCTAATAATGATAATGGCTACGGCCGCCCCTAAAAAAATGTTTTCCTCCCGGTGACTAAGTATGCCCAAGTCCTTAGTCACCCCAAAATTTTAAAAAATACCCTACCTATCCCCCTCATTCTAATAATAGTTAATAGGTGGGATAAAGAACAAAATACCTGTAAAATAAAATACTACTTACCATTAGATTTCTTCTTCCAACTTCTTGTCTTCAGTCTAAAAAAAAGGAAAATAAAATCCATGAAGTCGCATCACAATTATTAAAATAAAAAAAGAACTCAATAGGAAAAAAAAACGCTTTGGGAAAAAAAAATCCAGGTGAAAAATACTCCATCTTCACCCCTGTGCAAATTGACTGAGCTTGCAGGGCAGGGGAAGCCTTATAAAAACTTTCCCAAACAATGCAATTTGTCTCAGAGCACTCTGATTGGTTAGCTTAAGCCCCCCATTTTGTTACTTATGGTTACCACCCTCTATCCAGTGGGTGGGGTCTGGAGGGGAACAATAGGTTTACCCCCCACTTTATTACGAAGGGCCCTGGCCCAATCAGTGGGGCCTAGAGGGGGGACTACTGGGTCCTAATTTTTCTATTTTAATCGATGCTCTGTAAATGTCCACATCCAAACGTTTCTAGCACAGACAAAAGTTGACACCAAATTCATCAGGTCGAATGGTGCAGATTCATTTTGGAGGAAAAAAATTACAACTGGGTTTGACTTCAGTAAATATGAGAATTGCCAATCCCTTCAGAATTAGGCCTCGTCCACAGAATTATATCTACTAGACAAAATCTGGTGTTTAGTAAATAGACTCATCAGTGCACAGTTCTTTTAATATCAGTCCCAAGGAATCTTTTCCTCAATCCTCTTAATTGTTAATTTGATCGAAGAGAGAAAATTTATTTATGAAAAATTCCTAGGAGTAAAACCTTGTGAAACCACCCCTAGGTCATGAAATGAAGGGGCTGAATAATTAGCTATTAAATAAACATGTGAATTCTGGGTATGGGGGGAGAAGTTTGACTGCAGACTGAAAATCTCACTTAGTGAAGCTTTAGGGGGTCACTTCCTTCACTTTGGGAAAAGGGACCCTCCACTTCTGCCACCAGATGTGGTGGACCTCTCCTAGGTGAGTGGAGTATCGCAGGGAATCCCCTTTAGTGAAAGCCCCCAGAGTGATTCTAGGTCTGCACTAGTCATCAGCTGAGACTTGATGTAAGGGAACAACACAAACACTTTATTGAGTGACTGTCGTCTTATTATACACATGTTCCCACATGGGCTCACCAATAGAACTATAGGATTGCACAATACATTTCACAATCCTGGCACACGTGCATCTGGACATAACGGGATAACATTATTAACGGTCAGACAACTGGATGCCTAACAATAGTGTTCCCTAAAAAAAGGCTTCCTATAATCCTGCCCGTATCCCCAAACTGGTGCCACTGCCAGAAAGTCCTCCGCTTGAAGGGTACTCAGTCCAGAAATAGTTCAGATTGGAGGTGCATAGCCCGAATAGTCTAGGGGATACGTTTTGATCGGCCAAAGGCATCCAATCCGACGTCGAGTTCCAGAGCGAAGGGTGGAAAGTCTCAGTCACTTTTGATGACTGCGTATGAAGCCCGTACATGTTGCTCCCTCAAGTCCTGGGTGTCTTTGAATACCTTACCACCTCTTCATTCACCCCTCCAAATAGCACCCTTAATGGCGTTTGACAAGTCAGTTCCAGGAGGTTTTTAGGGTGCGAGTTCCCCTGGGGCTCTCTGGGTTGGGGGTTAGGTGCTCTTAACTGGTAGACACAGTAGGAAGTGGGCTCAGGTGGGTCATTATAGTTCTTTCAGGAGAAAGTGGTGGCCGGGAGACATGTACTAGTCCATGACCCGGTGGTCTGTCACGCACACATTAAATTACTCTTGTTCAAATGTTGATAATAGCTCTGAAAGTAAATAAACATACAAAGCATAATAGTGCAGATAGTCTGAGGTGAAATAAGGACTTTGTTTTTAAATGATGCGCTTACTCACAATAGTGGGGCCAAGGATATTTAGTTTCTTTAGCCTTTGAGTCCTTTATAGGGCACCACTTCCCTTCCTTGTCAAACCTCTTCCTTTTATAGCAGCACTAATATATGTAAATAGCGAACAAAAGTGCACATATAGTGTAATATATTCAGATAAAAATATCAATAAAAGTAGCAGCAGTATCCCACTCACATAAGTTAGAGCCTTTTTCTAAAGACTCTATATTTTAAGCAGGCGTCTCTCTGAGGGTGACGCTAACCCTTGAGAGTATGATGATTCACAGGATTTCCTCTCAAGGATTTTCTCTATTATTGATTGTTAATTTATTACTGGGGGTACAATGCTTAGAGTGCCCCTTAAAATAAAAATAGCAACATAAAGAAAACAGGCTGGGAAAATAAGTCAAATTCATTGTCATTATATGAAACTAATTGCACATCTATAAGTTTAGAAATTGCAGTTCACATAGGAAAAAGACATAGTGTAATAATACGAATGTTTATTCCTTAATTGATAATAAATATAGTTTTAAAAAAAGTAAACACCTGGCCCGTACGGGGATCGAACCCGCGACCTTGGCGTTATTAGCACCACGCTCTAACCAACTGAGCTAACCGGCCACATATCATTACAAGGGAGTAATAGAATTTAGTGTAAATTTTCAGAATGTAAACTGAAAATTGTATCAACAGTAGTAAACTAATTCTATTGAAATGATTTGAATCTTATTAAAATACTGTAAAATTTTTTTCTTAAACTCCAGTCACTCGAAATTATATATTTACACACACACACACACACACACACACACACACTTTTAATTAAAGAGCTTGAACTTTCAACAAATAATTAAATTTTTCAACTACATTTTATGTAAGAAATTTATCTCAGTGAGAAACCCGAATCAGAATATCACATCACGAGTTGTGTTGTCGCTCGGGATATGCGGAGCTGCTGTAATCAAATATCAGCCTTCTCCATTCATCATATACTGTTTCTCCCTAAGGAGGAACAGGTAAGGATTGACCTCACTGAAGATACCGATGAGAGTTACTAGCAATCAACAGACCGGAGACAGTACCGAGTAAAATGAGGGAGAAAAAGAAACACTCACACCAAGAACCGATATTTATTATTATATACCTATTAGATTAGCAGGAAGTCAATTATCTCTGAAATGTCAATCATAAAAAATAAATCAATATTAGTTTTATTCAGTGTTTAACGTGAATTCCTTGGAATCCCAGCAGCCACCTTGATGTAATTTGCATAGCTGTGGCTGTAGCCATCTAGTCATCGTTAGCCATGTTAAAGGAGGGCAGTATAACCTTAGCAGTCGTTTAGTAAAAGCCAAAAAAAAAGCGGAGCTCTTTAATGGAGATACATTGTTTGTAAAGTTAGAATTTCCTCCTATTAGTTCAGATTTAACTCAATGAGAGATTAATATAAAACACACAACGGCCTCTCTCACTGATATTATTAGCAGTAGCTGCAACCCAGTGACAGCAATGGTCTCTTCGCAGATTTAGTTCCAACCAGAAATTTGCGAATATTATACAAATGTAATGTTATAAGCTAATATAACAAGAAGTTATGTGAAAATATTGCAGGTGCAATACATGAATATAAAAAAAGTTTGAATTTCTATTGTTTATAACATTTTATGATCAATCAGCGAGAAAACCGAATCAGAATATCAACTCCCGAGTTGTGTTGTTGCTCGGGAGATGCGGAGCTGCTGTAATCAAATATCAGCCTCCTCCATTCATCATGTACTGTTTCTCCTTACGGAGGAACAGGTAAGGATTAACCTCACTGAAGATACTGATATGAGTTACTAGCAAGGAACAGACCGGAGACAGTACCGGGAAAAGTGAGGGAGAAAAGAAACACTCACACCAAGAACCGATATTTATTATTATATACCCATTAGATTAGCAGGAAGTCAATCATCTAGGAAATGTCAGTAATAAAAAATAAATCGATATTAGTTTTATTCAGTGTTTAACGTGAATTCCTTGGTATCCCAGCAGCCACCTGGATGTAATTTGCATAGATGTGGCTTTAGCCATCTAGTCATCGTTAGCCATGTTAAAGGAGGGCAGTATAACCTTCGCAGCCGTTTGGTAAAAGCCAAAAAAAAAAAAAAAAAATGGAGCTCTTTAATGGAGACACATTGTTTGTAAAGTTAGAATTTCCTCCTATTAGTTCAGATTTAACTCATTGAGAGATTAATATAAAACACACAACAGCCTCTCATTAAGATATCAGCAGTAGCTGCAACCCAGTGACAGCAATGGTCTCTTGGCAGTTTTAATTCCAGCCAAATAAAATGCCAACATTGAAATTAAAATGTGATAATGCAACTAGAAGTAACGTGGAAGCATAACACCCATAATACATATATATTACTGAGTATCATCTAATATTTAACAAGATTTATCACACGATCGATAAGTGAGATTACCGAATCAGAACGTCACCTCCCGAATTGTATTGTCGCTCGGGAGATGCGGAGCTGCTATAATCACATTTTAGCCTTCTCCATTCATCACGTACTGTTTCTCCTTACGGAAAAACAGATAAGGATTAACCTTACTGAAAATACCGAGTTACTTCACTAGCAAGGACCAGACCGGAGACAGTACCGGGAAAAGTGAGGGAGAAAAGAAACACTCACACCAAGAACCGATATTTATTATTATATACCTATTAGATTAGCAGGAAGTCAATTATCTAGGAAATGTCAGTAAAAAAAATAATTCGATATTAGTTTTATTTAGTGTTTAACGTGAATTCCTTGGAATCCCAGCAGCCACCTGAATGTAATTTGCATAGACGTGGCTTTAGCCATTTGGACATCGTTAGCCATGTTAAAGGAGGGCAGTATAACCTTCGCAGCCGTTTGGTAAAAACCAAAAAAAGCGGAGCTCTTTAATGGAGACACATTATAAAATTATAAAGTTAGAATTTCCTCTTATTAGTTCAGATTTAACTCGTTGAGAGATTAATACAAAACACACAACAGCCTCTCATTGAAATAGTAGCAGTAACTTCAACCCAGGGACAGTTACGGACTCCTTGCAATTTTAATTCCAACCAGAAATTCACGAACATTTGCAATTTAAAACTGCACCCACCATACAGTTATTAACAATAATGTTTTTAATTACTGCTTGCAACACTCTATAAATACCTATGATCAATCAGTAAGGACACCAATTCAGAATTTCACCTCCCGAGTTGTGTTGTCACTCGGGAGATGCGGAGCTGCAGTAATCACACATCAGTCTCCTCTATTCATCATGTACTGTTTCTCCCTAAGGAGGAACAGGTAAGGATTAACCTCACTGACGATAGTGATTATTAGCAAAAAGCAAGGATCAGACTGAAGATAGCACTGATTAAGCTGAGGGTGACAATTAAGATATTATTACTATTATTAACGTACCTTAACTATAATTTGTTATTAATATGCACAGAAAATATATAGTTAATACTAATAATAATCGGTACAACAAATAATATAAAGGGGAGGGGGGGAAGCAAAATGTTACATCCCATGAAGCAGTGCAAAATGTAATTTACATACCAGAGAGTTAGTGTCGGCCATCTTTGTTTAGGGCAGTGATTAGATTCACAATACACCGCAGTAAGGGCAAAACTTGTTCATAGCAAACGGGCTCTGGAATAAAGTAATTCCCACGAGCTGCAATAACCAGACATGTTAGGGTTATCGCTGGATAGCTCAGCACAAACAGTCTCTGAAATCATTTATTACCAGGTAAATACTGCAATAACCAGACATGTTAGTACCCATCTTAATAATTCTAATACACACCCACTACTATCCCAATCACACACTACTATCCCAATCACACACTACTATCAGACACACTACTATCCCTATCACTCACACACACACACTACTATCCCTATTACCCACACACACTACTATCCCAATCACACACTACTATCCCAATCACACACTACTATCCCTATCACACACTTATATCCCAATCACACACTACTATCCCAATCACACACTACTATCAGACACACTACTATCCCAATCACACACTACTATCCCTATCACACACTTATATCCCAATCACACACTTATATCCCTATCACACACACTACTATCCCAATCACACACTACTATCAGACACACTACTATCCCAATCACACACTACTATCCCTATCACACACTTATATCCCTATCACACACACTACTATCCCCAATCACACACTACCATCAGACACACCACTATCCCAATCACACACTACTATCCCTATCATTGTCTCATATCCCCATCACACACACTACTATCCCTATTACCCACACACACTACTATCCCTATCACACACACACACCACTATCCCTATCACACACACACACTACTATCCCTATCACACACTACTATCAGACACACTACTATCCCTATCACACACTTATATCCCTATCACACACACTACTATCCCTATCACACTTATATCCCTATCACACACTACCATCCCTATTACCCACACACTACTATCCCTATTACCCACACACACTACTATCCCTATCACACATGCACACTACTATCCCTATCACACACACACACACACTACTATCCCTATCACCCACACACACACACACACACTACTATCCCTATTACCCACACACACTACTATCCCTATCACACATGCACACTACTATCCCTATTACCCACACACACTACTATCCCTATCACACATGCACACTACTATCCCTATCACCCACACACACACACACACACTACTATCCCTATTACCCACACACACTACTATCCCTATCACACACTTATATCCCTATCACACACACTACTATCCCTATTACCCACACACACACACTACTATCCCTATCACCCACACACACACACACTACTATCCCTATTACCCACACACACTACTATCCCTATCACCCACACACACACACACACACTACTATCCCTATTACCCACACACACTACTATCCCTATCACACATGCACACTACTATCCCTATCACACACACACACACACTACTATCCCTATCACCCACACACACACACACACACTACTATCCCTATTACCCACACACACTACTATCCCTATCACACATGCACACTACTATCCCT